CCTCAAAATTATTTATTTATTTTATATATATATATAATTATAATATATATAATTTTATAAACATAAAATATTTGCTTTTGGCCTTATTTTTCACCAGGATTGTGAAATGAAAGAAATATTTTAAAATATAGCCACACATTCCTTCCAAGAGCATTATGCAACTCCTTAAAAAACACATTAGAAAAAAGCTGAAGCCAAATATAATATATTTTAGGCAAAGAAGATGTAAAACTTAAAAATAGAAATATATAAAAGACTAAATCATTAGGAAAAATAAAAAGAGCCTTTTTTGACTGGCAGAAGCAAAGTTAATCTCTGACCCATAGCTTCTGCACAAAATGGCTTCGAAAAGCCACTGTCTTTCTCCAGAAGGGAATTCCAGTCAGAAATTCCCAGAACAAAAATGACTCCCTCCCTAAAGAAAAATGAATTTAAACAGAAAAATGCTGGTAATGGCAGAATTCAAATGCTTTGTTTTTAAGCTTCCCTGGTCTCTAGAACCATCCTGATGCATGTTTCTGGTGTTGTAATGTCTACTTTGTTTCTGAGTAATATAATTACTATTATATAAGATCGCATATAAACACATGTGATCCTATATAAAGTGACAGAAGTGAAAACATAATTTACCTTAAAAACTCTCAGAGTGGTAGTAGTATGCAGAGAGGCTACACACTACTGATAGAGGTAGTTTGCTGTCAACAGCTCAAGTAGCCTTGTGCTTCTTTTAATTTAATTGGAAGAAAAAAATTCCCATTACGGATTTCTCTTTGATATCAAAACACAATTATTTAAAAAACAAAAACAAAAGCAGTTGTATACTGTAACTGACTGGCAAAGATGCTGTGGTTTCAAGGAATCTTGTACATTTGAATGATTCTACACCTCTAGTCTGAACCATTTCTATGTATTTTAACCAGAATACGAAACTATTATTAAGATGATAAGATGCTATTATTTTTTGAAATGGAGGAATCTCTGAATCAGAACAAGATAACATTGTTATCTTTTTCTATTGTTTAAAATATATCTATCTCCTTCTTAGCTCTATAATCATTATCAAGCAGAAAAAAATGAAGATAATCTTCCATGAATATGCCTAATCCTATTTTAAATTCATCCAAGTTAGAATACCATCACTATATCTTCTGATAACAAATCCCAGTTTGCTAAATCCTATGCAAATAAGTGCTTTCTTTTGTCTCTTCTCATCTTTTTTTTACTTGTGTGCCCCCCCCCC